GGGTAGACAAATTATTATTACACTCAGACCGCTTGATCATTCAAAGTTTCTAAATATGGTTAACATGAATGCTTAATTCTGGATTTGGTGGTTGGCACTCAGAAATCACTATTACAATCAAAAGAGCGAATGATGTTTACACATTCTCCATGGCAATGCCACCATGGCCTGGGAAGGCCTGGACATCCACAATTTTTTTGTTAATTTCAAATTTTTAGGGTTTTAAGAATTATCCTCTATGGTAATTTTAGATAGGGACAAATTTGTTATAAAATAACTGTTATAGGGGTGGAATTAACACCACTTTACTGTTAAATAGCAGAGGCTAAGTTTGATATATAGGTGGCAGCACTTTGATCACAATGTTTCAATACTCATGTATATGGCCTTCACATTTAGTTGTCCTTGCTGATGTGGTTCATCCAATGACTGATGTCACTATTTCTAGACTATCTTGTGTAGGAGATAATGTTGTCTGATAAGTCCTGATTTCGGTTTGCTTGTTCTGCTTTATGTTTCCTTTGTTCACTTGAGAAAGAACAAAATAATAACATATGTATCCTTGCTTTCAGGTACAAAAACTTGACACCATAGACTATCTGGTGCATATATTATAAGGATTGTAAGCATTCTTACACTGACCAGTCTCTTTAAACTCATTTATATAGTTGGTCCATAATATGCAAGTAAGAAACGTTTCACATAAGGCTTCCTCGATGCTGCATTCTTAGAAGCAGCATTTTTATAGTTTTTCAGAAAGCCTTTTTTTTCATTGTTTGTGCAGACAGAAGACCTTTGTTTATTAGTTCTGTAAATTCCTGATACAGATAATGTGCCTCCAATAGTTTCCAACATTATTTATCTTGTACCAGCTTCGGATGCACCATAGGTTTTGCCGTCCTCATTTTCAGTTTTAATGTTATATTTATGAAACCTAATAAGATTCACGTTGCTTATGGACTTTATCTTGCACAACCCTTTAAGTTGAGTAACCATGGATAGTCTTCCCTAGATAAATATTTGCATATATAGAAATTGGAAAACAGAGGATAGTCTATATCTATTCAATTCCTATGGTAACCATGTCGAGCCAGCATGCTAAATTCTTGTAATTGGCATAATCTTGAGGAGGTGTTTGCTTAAAATGCACTCGGCCAAAGTTGTTCTTCTATGCCTTGACACAGATTAAACCCAAATGAAAACCAAAATATGTTAAAGACCACCCTTAGAATCAACTAGATAGCCAAAAATACTAGCTGAACTCTAATCCTTTTAGCTCAAACTGCGATCAATTAAACACTAAATGGAACTCACAGAGTAATAAAGATGAATCCTTGATCTATAAACATAGATATTAAGATTTGCTCAAGATCATCGTTTTCAATTACGCATGGAAGCTAAGACTAGAGCTTACTGAGCTACAATTCTCATGCTGACTCAATTAAGTAGCACTAGAGCACTGGATTGAATACCCTAAGACTAATGTTCAAGCTTTGGTTATTACTGAGCATTCCTCTCTGTTTATGGAAGAGTCATGCACCCTAATTGTGCTGCAATAAATCTGTCATTGGCACAAACTCATCGGCCTCAGAAAGAATGAGGTACCTACAAAGAATATCAGGACAAATGGTCTTTAACAAAGACATGATATGATGTCTACTGAAGCTATCTTCAAAACCCTATCATTAACATGGAACGATTGGACTGTGATTCTCAGAATTTGATAATGAAGGTCATCGAGGCAACGATTGATCGATCCATCACTAGGATTGATCGTTGGGTTACTGACTCGACAAAGATGACAGATTCGTATGAAACTCATGTACTTGATAAGCTGTACTCATGTACTTCATGTTAATTCATCCAAAGGACCAGGCCAAAGTTGTCTCAACAAAACAGTCAACATGCTGCTAAGCGTATGTTAGAAAGTGATCCTACAAAGAGCATTTTGTCATAGGAAATTGTTAAAACAAAGGTTGTACGCAGTTCCAATGTTACAAACTTTAACAAAATTGCAATAGTGTTGACAAAAGAGCTAAAGAAATAAAAATTGAACAAGTTAATTTTCGGAAGTTGGTAGTGATTATCAAATATCTTGATAATGTTTGGTAGAGAGAGAGAGAGAGAGAGAGAGGGTAGAATCTTAAGCCATGATGGAAAAAGGGAGAGACTCGAAAGTACTAGAATAAGGGAGAGAACCCCTTAATTTTCATAAAGACGGTGAAGAGATTAAGTGGAGCAGTCCTGGCCAGCCATTTCCATGAGCTTCTAGAGTCATATCTTCCATTTCAACTAAGCCTAATTGTATATTGCAGTCACGGGGACTAGGGATGCCTTAGGTCTTGTTTAGTATCTTACTCAAAAAAGTAAATTAAAAAACTATAATTTTATTTTAAAAATATGAGTTTTTAAATAGTGATTTTAAGATCTAAAAACTTGTTTGGTATTGAACTCCAAACCATTTTTAAGATCTAAAAAAATTGAAATTAAAATCAGAAAATTAATAGCCCTACATAGAGAGAGAGAGAGAGAAAGAGACAGGACAACAGCGAGAGAGGGAGGAGAGAGAAAGATGCGATATAGAGAGAGAGAGAGAGAGAGAGAATAATTTATAAAACTTCACCTTTTTTATGCTTTTAATAATGGGGGTATTTTTGAGTTTTTAATAATGGGCCTACCAAACGGTTTTTATAGCTTTGGACTTAAAATCCGTTTTTAAATTTATAAAATTAGATCAAAGTTGGATACCAAATAGACCCTTAATTTCACCACGTTATTCTTCAATTTTTCTTGAGCCCATCATCAAGAAAAACTTACCTACCATTTTTCGTTGCCCCTTATAATTTTATAGAAATTGGGGATTGTCCTTGAATTGCTTGGAATTCAAACTACAAGGACAAAATTGATCAAATTGAAACTACAAAGACCTTAGTGATAAAAGTGATAAACTACATGGACCAAAAGTGACTTTTAGACTTGATTTTTAAAATTTTTTTAATACAAACGATAGTCTAAACTATAAGGGGATGGAGATTTCTCATACACACACTAGGGTAGAACCCGGTGGCGATAATTATTGAATTTTTAATGACATGGTTTTGCAATTTACTTGAAAAAGGATAATGGGATTTCCCAACCATGCATGCCTAGCCTTCCACGCAGGGGCGGAGCCATGTAGGGACCAGTGTGGTCCCAGAGCCCCCCCTCAATCTGTTTACCGCTTACATTTATATATTATATTATATTTACTCTAAAATAAACAATATATTAGGTTCTTTTTATCTACAAATTGACCATTAAACTTCTATATCACTCTTCTACTTTCAATTAAATCTACTAAGTTAGGTTATGATATTTACACTAAAAACTCCTAAGTTTTTCTTCTTCTCTCTCTTCCTCTTTTGTTTAACTTAAGCTTAAGCTTTGTGATTTTTTTCCCTCTTTTTTTACATGTTTGAGTAGGGTACTTTAATATTGGGATTTATGATTTTTATTTTTTTGGTTGTATTTGTTTTCTCTTTGTTGAAATATAAATTATTAACTTTTGAGTCTTTAGATGATGATATTAATATTTAACCATTTTATAATATAAAATTAAGGACAATTATGATTGTAATGAATGAATAAATTATTAATCAATATGAAATGATATTATCAAGTGGGCTAAACTGAGTATTTAGTATCGTATTAACTTATTAAATAGTTAGCGCTTGAGTGCTCCTATTCAAATTATTTTATAAAATTTTGTGAAGGGCCCCCTCTAATGCAAATTCCTGGCTTCGCCACTACTTCCATGTGCTAAAATTATGTGCTCCCTGGTGAGAAAAGCTTACCTATCATGATTTCATACACATTGCTAGGGATCATCGTTAATATCTTTAAAATCATGTTTGATGCACTCTAAGTTAGCACAACTAGGTTGACAACCACACACTTATCAATCACTTGCACTTTACATCATCAAGGTACTAAAATAATGTTAGCATTATGTTAGCCTTACATTATTATTTTATAAAATTTTGTGAAGGGCCCCCTCTAATGAAAATTCCTGGCTTCGCCACTACTTCCACGTACTAAAATTATGTGCTCCCTGGTGAGAAAAGCTTACCTATCATGATTTCATACACATTGCTAGGGATCATTGTTAATATCTTTAAAATCGTGTTTGATGCACTCTAAGTTAGCACAACTAGGTTGACAACTACACACTTATCAATCACTTGCACTTTACATCATCAAGGTACTAAAATAATGTTAGCATTATGTTAGCCTTACATTGACTAAGTATGAAAAATGGACTTTCAAAATACTAATGTTTTCAATGATATTTTTGGCGGTTTATATTCCTTTCATCTTAAATAATCAAACATGATTTTATGAGATTTTAGTATAAAGTATACATTGACTTATTGAGGTATCAATATTGATATAAACTGTATCTTATACTAAAACTAGATTTCCATATTTTGATTTGTTGGAAATTTGATTTTCTAGTATTTTTAATTAAATCCAAATGGGGTGTACTTCCTTATTTACATTGTAAACTTAAGTAAATGGAATAAAATAAAAATAAAATAAAGTAAAAAGACAAGACATTTACTTCAAGGCAATGGGCGAGCCTACTTGGCCTGTGCGTGGCCCGACCTGATCCAACTTAGAAAGCCTGCCTAGGCCTAGCCTACTCGGCCTGTGGGTGGCTCGACCTGATCCAACTTAGAAAGCCTGCCTAGGCCTAACCCAATGGGCGAGCTCAGCCCAATCCCTTTGAAACCTCGGCTACTCCTGAAAAATAAAAAAGCACATAAAGGCCCAGCCGAGCCCAATGACGATCCCTACACATTTCAACACCATTTTTCTCTATCTTTGTGATATCAACTGTGATAAGAGAGATAGAGAGATATGGTGTATTAAATAAGGCTTAATTATCAATATGCCCCATGTGCTTTACCGAAAATCCCACTTTACCCATTGCAATTCAAATTGGGTCACTATGCCCCCTATGCTCACCTTCCATGTCCCACATTACCCTCATCTATCAATTTCATAACAAGAGACGTTAGGTTTGCTTAGGTGGCAGCCACATGGCGTTAGAGCTTGGGTATATTTTTCATTTATAGGCCGTGAAAATCAGAATGAGGGTTTAGGTTTCCACCAAATTACCCCCAAATTGATCCCCATATTATGATAGGCAATGCCCTAGAATCATTTAGGAAAAAAATTGAAGTCACATAACCCTAAAATTTTGGTGTTTGTAGCTCAAATTGAAGTCGACATCAAGTGAAGTTGTTGGGGTTGGGTGAATCGAAGAAAACGATGGACATCAGACCAGCAAGGCATGGTGCTCGTTGTCACTATGGAAAGATGGCAGTGATGGTGACATCATGGATTGATGCAAACCCAGGTCGAAGATTCCAAGTGTGCCCAAAGTCAAAAAAGGTAAGAAACATAAAATGCCACAGTTGTGGGTGATTTGTTGGACAAGAAGAATTGATATTTGGTATATGTGGGTTAATGTAGGGAAGAGGACAGAGAGTATGTCAGTTTTGGGAGTGATATGATCCTGAAATGTGTCCACGTTCAAAGGTGGTGATACCTGGGTTGCTGATGAAGATTCATAAATTGGAAGAGGAAAATGCCAAAATTCGAAGAAGGAGGTGAATATTGATTGGAGCTGTATTGGTTTCTTTCTTCTTGTTGTTGTATGTAATGAAATGGAATTGAAAGGATGCATTGGTTTCCTTCTTGTTGTTATTGTATGTAATGAAATGGAATTGAAAGGATGCATTGGTTTCCTTTTCGCTAATGTAATATGTTAAGAATCTTTTGCAATGAAGTTGATGCCATACAAAGATACAAATATTCCATATAAAATCCATCTCCAACAGCACATTCCATTTCATACAAAGATACAAACATTCCATTTCAACCTTAAATCCATATCCATTCAACCTGAGCAGCAATTTACAAAAGTAGTTTTTGATGGAATCATCCCAAAACCAAAATCCATCACAAGCATCCCAAAAGCCATTACCAATATCCATCACAAATCCTCCCAAAAACCAAAATGCAATGGCTTACAAATGAAGTTTTGCACATCCTAAAATAACATATCCATTCAAACATCCCAAAAGCAACATATCCATTCGAACATACCTAAAACCATTTCAATTATAACATCCTCTTCAAGGGTGGAAGAAGGGGTCTTTGATAAAGTGCTTCCTCTGTGCAGTTCTTTTCATCCTCTTCCTAGCTTGATTCCCTTCTGCAGTGGTAACAGGCTGTGACATTGGCCTTGATTGACTGGTTTGTGGCTCATTTGAAGGAGGGTGGCTTTCAGTTTGAGGTTGTTGGGTCAGTTGTGCCCCTTGGGAACATGGTCCTCCATCTTTCCTTTTCCTCAATTGCCTTGTGCATAGTCCATTGCCTTTTGGCTGAGAGCCGGTACCTTGACCTCTTGGCCTTAGTTCCATTTGGGATTGTGTACAATCTCTCCTTCTCACCTAAAAAATAACACAGTAAAAAAAATACCCAATTCAAATAATACTAGTCAATTAAATTATGAGTTTATTTAGTACTTAGAGCTTGGTCTAAAAGACTTCGTAGCCTTCTTACTTGGAGGCTTTGAGTTAGGATTCCAAGGCTCCTGAGAAGAATATATGAATTTGAATTAGTAAATACAATTAAATAGTAAAGACAGTAAAACAAACTAAAGGAGAGTTGTACCTTACACCTTTTCCAATTATGGCATTCTCCTCCACAATTGCCACATTTTAATGGAATTCCATACTTTGGAAGCTTGGATTTGAGGGTTGTTTGGGTTCAGTTGCAGTCTTGTACCTTGACTTATTTGGCCTACCAAGTTGTTTATGATATTTTGGAGGCATCAATGGAGGTAGATTTGTCTTAATCCATTGGTCTTAGCTTGTCATAGGCATAACTACAGGCTCATAGGTTCTTAGATAAGTTTCCTTCTTATAACTATCATTAATGTAGTCTTCTGGATTCTCATGAAAGCAACTTATTGCAGCACATGCATGCAGATGTGGTAGTCCATTGAAGTCCCAAGCATTGCATGAACAAGATCTGGAATTCAAATCAACAGCAAATATTCGACCGCTATGGTGCATCACCTCAAACCTGTTCTGCCTAGCACCCTTGGGAATACACCATTGTGCCTTTTCTTTGGTCTTCTCTAATATCTTTGTTATTCTTGGACCAATTTGGCCATGCCATTTATCACAAGCCACCCTTCTACTAGCCATCAAAAACATTATATAGAACCTAATTCTTTCTAACATTGTCAACACTAGCTTTTCCCTTGCATCCAATATGCTCTTGTTGAAGGCTTCACAGAGGTTATTAATGAGAATGTCACATTTGTTACTAGTCTTAAAATGTGCCCTGCTCCAATGCTTAGGGTCCCTTTCTACAAGCCAAGCATGAGCTTCTGTAGAAAGCTCCAACATCTTCCCCATCTCAACATCATACCAGGGAACTATAGTACTCCTTGCAATGTTTTCCATTTGTAGCTTCAGAGCCAGACCTTTATGCTCAATATTAAAGTTTGAATACAACAGTGCCTCTTCTCTGCATTTGGGAATAAAGTGGATACAACATCTATTAGTCCCTTCTACTTGTGATTCATGAAGACATGTCCATGGCTATGGCCTATATTCAGATATTGACCAAGTAATTCCAAAAACCACATCCATGTGTTGAAGGCCTCAACCTAGGCAACAACCAGGCAATTGGAAACATGTCATTATTGCCATCAACCCCAACAACACATAACAATTGCCCTGGGCAAGACATATATACCACATTTCAAACCTAGGCCTTTGTCCTTCCAATGAAGACTTCATTATAATTGTGCTTCCCACATTTCTATTTCTCAACTCATTGTAGTAGTCCTACAATGCTTCATACTGATTGATGAAAGATCCCTCAACAATATCAACTACCAATGCCCTTGCTCTATACACCACTGTCCTAGAAGGATGGTAGCCATAGTCTGTAAACACTTGCTCAGCAAATGAAAATGAAGAAGCTGTCCAATTTGGATTAAGTCTTAATTGGGTAGAATACCTTTGAGCCAACCACTTTGCATTGGCATGTTTATTTTTACTACCCCTACTACATCTATGTCTCGGATTACATGTCTTCACTTGGAGATATGTGCTACCAGCTGTAGTGCTTGTGTGTAAAACAAAGGGACACTCTTCATGACAGACAACTCTTATTGTTGTTGGATCATTCTTCTTAAAAGTTAATTCCCTTCCATGATTTATAGAATAAATCCTCATAGTTTTCCTGAACATGGTAGCATTAGCAAACCTCAACCCCCTTTTAAAGACTGGGTTGGCCATATCAGTATTGGGTATGAAGTCCTCATACTTTGGCATCCTATGCTTCTTTCTTCTCAAATTAGCAATTGATTCATCTGCACTTGAAGAGCTATATGTGCTTGTAAGTGCAGGTGAAGTGGTCCCACTTCTTGAGTGATCATCTTCCTCTACATTTAGATCACTATCCACTATACTATGATCCACATATCCATCAAACCACCTGTCATCATTTTTCAAGAGGGCCTCCTCTATTTCAGATTGTTCATAATCCCTATCTACAAAATTTGGATAATTAGTTTTATCATCCTCGCTTTCCTCATCCTCACTTACCACTTCCTCGTCCTCATTATAGACTTCCTCATCCCCATTATACACTTGTTCATCCAAATTTTTCACTTGCTCATCCTTATCCCCATTATACACTTGCTCATCCTCATACACATTTTGCACTTGCTCATCCTTATCCCCAATATATATCACAATCACTATCTATAGGCTCTTAGGAAATCCCTTCATATAGTATAATAGATTTCCATATGTTTTGATTTCAATTAGTTTCCCAGTCCCAACTTCTTCACCATAAAAAGCCACACCATCCTCATAACCAATATATTTACCCATAGCCCACAACTCTAGCATGGGCATATACTCAGCCTCTATGTAGTCAAACCAACTTACGGAACCACCCAAGTAAGACCATGCTCTCTCACCCGAGCCTTTTTTAAGTACCTTACCTCCATGACATAACTTAAATGTCACAAGGTCATCTATTTTTTCATCTGCCACATACCAAGCCTAAATTAATTGTAATACCCCGAAAAATTCAAGGTGGATTTTCATATTTTAGTGAAAAATAATATAATTGTGGAGATTGATTATGAGTATTTTATCAAGTGATTTTGGATGAAGATTATTAAATTAAGTGGGGTTTAATTTCAAGTTGGACAAACATGACCAAAACACCCCTATGTGTGTATAATTACCAAAATACCCTTGTAGAAAGAAAGTAGGAGGCAACGTGTAAGCCAAGCATTTCTTCCCTCCTTCATTCTTCCCCCCTTCCCACTTACATTCTCTTCAAAAATCTGATTTTGGAATGAGTTGTAAACCTATGGTGGATGAGTCACCTAGTCTAAAAATGGTGACTCACCTAGCCAAAGAGTCTTTCTTATCCTCTTCCTCCCCATTCATTGAATCATCACTCTTTCTTAACTTAATGACTCACCTAGCCTAAGGCTTTTCAATCATAAATTCCCTCTTATCCTCATCATTCATTGTATCATCCTTTCTTCCTCATTCACCTTAGTTTCATCCTTATTCTTCTATTGTTCCTCTTCAAAATCCAAAATTCGTCACTTGCTTGGAGCAGCCGAGAACTCAAATTTCGGAAGCTCAAATGAGAAAACTTTCTTCATAAAAGTTGTTCATTTACGTGATTCCTATAAAATACTCAAATTTCAGCTCAATCCGACTAGTTTAGGCTCTGAAACATTGGTATGATCACAATAAGATTACCATTTCCTGATTTCACAGCAGTATGCTCGGTTTCAGTTTGTTTCTGTGAATTCATGTACTCAAATGACTTTGGTTCCTTCATCAAAGTTGTTTGAAATGCTGTCTATTATAACATATCAACATTTCAGATTGATCAGACTTCTCTAGCCACCTTGGGAACGTTTAGAGTGGAACTTGTTTATAGTCTTCAACCTTGGTTCCTTCCCTCGTTTTCAGTCCAAAACACTCATTTCAAAAGCTCAAAACAATATGGTTTCTTCATAATAGTTACTCCAAATTGTCCTCTTTATAACATATCCAAAGATCATCCAAACGCAATCATTATAACTCTCTAAAACTTGGTGTGAACAAAACTTGTTATTATGTTGAATTTCTTGTTATAGATATGTACTTTCTCTCAAATGGCTTATCATTCAATTGCTCAAATTAGCCACTATCATCTCAAGTAAATGATTCTTTGAAGGCTTGAAGCTCTTCTTTTTATTGTCTTTTTGAGTACTAGTTTTAAACCAAGTGTGGTTAGAATGCCTCAATATATATCTTTCGAAGTGTGTTTTTGTGAAGTTCTAGATTATTTCGATATGATTTTTGTTTCAATTTCATTTTGGGGTTTTGTTACATCAAAATGAATATCTCAAGGGTTATTTCAAAGTTGGTTTTGTGCCATTTGATTTTAAATTAATTTTTTTGTGAAATTTCAAAGTAGAGACTATCCTGCTGGAATTGTTTTGATTCTGCTGCATACCCTGTTTTGAAGTAAGTGTTTGAAAACTTCCTAAACTTGGATTTTCATGAAATTTTAGTATGTTTTACTTTCTCGTATTTTCTTCAGATCTGGAAGGTTTTATCCAGTTTGGTTGTAAATTGTAATTTTGGTGATTTTTCAAAATAAAGTGTACAAACCTGAAAAAGAAGAACGTTATGCAGCCTCGTCTGTTTTGGTTTCTATTTTGACA